TTTGCACAGCCCCTTTTTGTCTGCTCTTCTCTGCAGTGAGCATGGAAAAAAATAACCCCTTTCTGGGCACAGCTGCACTTCCTAATGTAGACCAGGAGGAAGGAGAGGCAGGGTATCCTGCTGCTGCCACAAACTACAACTGATGTAGGCAGAGGAACACAACAGGTGCACAGCAGTAGGATGTCCTAGGGAGGGGGTCTAAAACTAATCTGTCATGGGGGGGAGGGTAAAGGGCTTAGCTTTTGTGCTGTGCCCTCTTAACTTGCAGATTTTGACAGCTATCTCGAGCACAGAGTGCATTCTCTCTATATCAGATGTACAGTGTCCATAACAGCTGCATTTTAGTTGCTCCCAGCAGAAAACCAGCCCTTTGTTGCAGGCATCTGAAAACAAGGCAGATGGTGTAAGACAGCATCTTTTTTTGACAGCTTTAGACCCCAAAGGGGAGGTGTCTGAAATCTGCAACAGTCCCACAGCTAAAGATCTATTCACAAGCTGGACTTGCCTTCTGTCCAGCACTTGTGCCAAGTGGGAAACTGCAGTTAGTTTCCAGTTTCTGTGTAAAGTCAAGGACTTGACTTAGGATTTGTGAATTAGAGAGTCCCAAAACTAAATGGGTATTCTGCAGCAGCAGGACTGTCAAAGACCGCAGGGCTAGCCAGCAGCAGCTTTCCTCCTCTGCATGACAGGCCGGCCTGCTGCATGTTCCCAAGCCCATCGGCCTGATCAGTATTAGGATGAAATGGATTCCTCAGAGCAGGCACAACTGATCAATCAGATCATCAGTCTCAAAGGTCACGTGTTGCTCTGAATCACAAACTTTAGGGGCTTCACTGGAGTTCAGGACTGATCAAGGAAAAAGATAGGACCATCACCCCTGCAATTGGACAGGGGCAGTCATCATAGCAGGACAGCCTCCAAAGGTTCACAGGCAAACTTGGGCAAATAGTTTGCATGAACCCATCTCCAAAAATGACCAGCACAAAATAGACTGGTGGTTTGGCTCAAGCAGTAGAGCACCTGTTTTGCCAGTGCAAAACCTTGAGTTTAAATCCCAGTCCAACGAAAAAAAAGTCAGATGTGTCCAAATCCACTTGCTATCACCCCCTTCGATATAAAACTAAAACTTTGAGAAGTACATTTTTCAGAAGTTCATGTAAGGCTGGGGAAGAAACCACATAGGAATGTGTGCTCGTACTCGAACTGCCCACCACAACCATGGCTGGTGTAGCTCACCCTGTGGCCAGCCCTGGAAGGTCCTGGACAGTGTGGTCAGTCTGACCAATCCCCTCACCCTCTTCAACCTCAGAGTACTCTTCAGAGTCTGAGGGTAGCAGTCTGTGGTCCACAGAGGAATGGATTCTAGGCTCTGCCAAGAGCCAAGGAAAACACTTTGAGGAGGAATGAGGGGACAAAGTCCATCCTACAGAGGAGCCCCACAGAATCCATTTTTACCTGTGATTAGTCCTGGAATGCCCTGGACAGCACGGTCAGCCTGACCACTCCCCTCATCACTCTGCCACCTCAGAGGACTCTGAGAGTCTGACGGGAGGAAACTGGCGTTTATAGAGTATCAGAGTGCAGACTCTGCCAGGGACAAAGGCGGACACTCAGAAATGCCATTTTGCCCCTCTTGTCAGCCCTGGAAGGCCCCAGGCACCACACTAAGTGTTATGTCCAGATGTGGAGACAGGTGAGGGTTTTGTCTGAGGACATGGATTCAAGTCAGCCAAGCAGAGAGTGCTGGGCTCCATGGTGGATAGAAGAAATCTACCTTGCTCCCACCCCCCAAGAAGTGTCCCCAAACAATCCAGAATTGCCTCTGTTGCCAGCCTTGCACACAGGTCTTCTAGTCAGATGAGTGCCCCCACCTTTCCTTCTGACACTGGGAATGACAGCCTTGGTCTGAGGTCTGTGAAGTGGAGAGGCCCAGGTTCTGTGAGGGGTGGAGCAGAGATGATGTGAGGGTGGGCAAAGAAAATCCTCCCCCCTGATAGAGGATCCACAAAAAACCCAGCCCTGACACTTGTTGTCATCTCTGCACATAGGGATATTTACTCAGGTGAGCACCTGAACCCTTCTACCAACACCAGTCCCTCACACCTTCTCCTTCTGACTCAGGAAACCCTGAGAATTAGGGCTTTGGTCCGAGGGGAACAGACTGAGACTTGCAGATGAAGGGAGTCTAGGCTGTGCTGGGAGTCAATGGAAGGACCTTGAGGGAAGACAGAGTGACATGTAAATCCCATTATTGTATCTTTGCTGATAGCCCTTGGTGACATAAGCAAAGTGGCTTGATGTGCAAGCCACTAACTCTGGCCTTGAAGGTCACAAAACAAGTGAAGGTGTTGGTTGCAGGGGACAGGGCGTAGATTGTAAGGGAGAGGACCTTAGACTCCAGGACAAGGGGAACTCCAGGGAAGCCTGACACTGATGTCAGTCTGGGGAGGCCCCATGTAGGGTGACCAGGAAGGTGATATATGACTTCCACAACTGAGTCTAAGAGAGAATAGGGGTTGGGTAGAAGGAGAAAAGCCTCAGGTGAGCAGAGTGAGTGGCCAGACACTGCTGGAAGTCAAGGTGAAGACTCAAAAAGGGCCTACTCCCACACTTGCTAGGAGCCCTGGGATGTCTCATGCACAGTGACTAGACAAGTGATTCCTGACTTCTGCATCTGGGTTTGAGAGAGGTTAGGGGTTAGAGGTTAGGGGGACACAGAATGCAGCCCTGCCCCTGCTTTCAAACTGAGTCATGTCCTGCAATCCAGGTCTGCAACCTGAGGAGGACTCAGGTCATCAGAGGGTGGGGGTCCTGCCTGGAGTCAAGTGGAGGACTCAAAGGGAGGAATGAAGGGATCTTGCGCTCTGAATCAGAGGAGGACCTCCACCCTCCCTTCAGCCATGGGCAGAGAAGTGAGATACAGGGCACCTAGGCTTTGGCCTGAGGAGTGTGACCTCTGGTCAGTTGGACTCTGAAGAAGAACCAAGAAGCCCCTAATCCAAGACATGGGAAACTTTCCCCTCCTGGCAGACCAGTGGCTCCAGACAGGACTGGGTGGTAGAGATGTCTCCCCTGCCTTCCTGTTTCATGGTTGGGGTGGGGATCAGGGGGATGTAGCCTTGGTCTGAAAGACTGACGTGCAGGTACGCAAAGGGAAAGAGCCCAGGCCTCGTGAACAATAAGTATGAACACTTTCAGGTATTCCTGGGCCACTAGTGAGTTCGAGGCCAGCCTGGGCTACATGGTAAGGCACTGGATATAAATAAATAAATAAATAAATAAATAAAAAACTGGAGCGAGCCTAAATCTAGATATTGGACATGACTAAGGATTTGAGAGCCCTTGGAGGGAAAGGCACCTGGGATGTGTTTCCTTCAAACCCTTTTTGCATCCTCCCAGCATGGTCAAAAATCCAAAAAAGCTATTTGCACTCCCATTTTAGAAGTAATACCTAACCATCTGAGAAGACAAAGAGTGTCCTATTGAGGGACAAGGACCCAGAATCCTTCCACACTGGGTGGGCTTTCCACTATTAACCTCTATCTCCCTACATAAACTGAAAACTACAGACAAGACAGCTAGAGAACATGTATCACCAAACCACTGTGAATCCTCTTATCTGTGGTGGAAGATGACTCTCATTTGAATCTTCTACCCATCCTGACACACTTACACTTATCAGATTTTCAAATGCATGATGGCATTCATCAGTTTGGATTAATTAATAATGTCTAGCTTAACAAGTAGGAACTTCCACTAGGAAAGTGTGAAAATCAGGCCTCAAAAATGAACTTGAGAATGATGTTTGTGGGGCAGAAATGGAAACTAATGGCAATTCTATTGGGAAATGTAGAGGAATGAGATTTGGTAGACGGCAGAGATCAGCATGGACATCCACAGCAAAGGCAAAGATGCGATCATTCCAAAAGGACTTTGAGTAACACTTAATTAAGGAACACTCCTGACGCACCTCGCTTGGGTATAGTCCTACACTGAAGACAACCTGATGAAGTGGCACCAAAAACACACTTGCTATTTAAGACCATCTAAGTACACTCAAGTATCCACTAAGAGTGGTTGGAAGAAAGCCAGGCACTGTGGCTCACACCTTTAATCCTAGCTTCTCAGGAGGCCGAGATCAGGAGGATCATGGTTCCAAGCCAGCCCTGGGCAAATAGTTCATGATATCCTATCTAAAAAATACCTATCACAAAAAAGGGCTGGTGGAGTGGCTCAAGTGGTAGAGTGCCTGCCTAGCAAGTCTGAGGCCCTGAGTCCAAACTCCAGTGCCATCAAAAAAAAGAGTGCTTTGAAGATACCAAAGCAGGATGAAAGAGAAGGGAAGGATGGAAAAGTGGAGGCTACCAGTAAAGGACAGGCTGCCCTGTCTTGGGGCTATGCATAACCTGTTGGTGAATGCAAAGGAATGAGATTTCTGCAACAAGCAGAAGTTAACATGGATATCTACAGCACAACCTAGGATGGGACCATTCCATCATGCAACAGTGCTTATAGTAGTAACATTACCACTGAGGAACAAAAAGAGTACTATCATCCTGCTGTACTTGGGCATAGCCCTACCCTGGGGACAACCTGAAATTAGCACTAAAACACACTCCTTATTTTACCCATCTAAGCAGACCCTAGCAGCCAGCAAGAGTCCTTGGAAGTGGGCTGGAAGAGTAGTAATGGTAGACTACCTGCTTTGTAAGAGTAGTTGGAAGAGTCCAAAGTTGGACAGAGAATGGGGGGAGAAGAGAAAAAGCGAGGATATCAACCAAAACCAGGCCTCCCAACCTTGGTGGTACAATCACCCAGCAGCCAACTGGCCCAGATGGTCATCCAGCTCAGAATCACTGTGGGCTCACACTTGAGCAAAGAAGAGAAGGCAGCCAAAGGTCCTCTCCCATATTTAGGAGGGGTGATGGCATCTTGGTGTCTCAACTCATGCAGGACTAGGCACCATGACTTGATGTGCCTGTCAGCAGACAGGAGGATTTTCTCAGTAACTGAATTGCACTTTTGTACCCTTTAAGACATTTGCTGGGGCCCTGTCACTGTCCACCCTCGCCAAACACTCTAGGCTAGGCCTCCCTCTCCAGAATGGCTGGGAGCCACCTTTGTGACATCACATGACATATGAAGAAGAAAATGACTTCAGCAGATGGTTGTCCCACTACTAAGACTTTAGAAATTTGTGGACAGTATTTCTTGGGCATCCCCACTGGGACCAAAGGCATTTTTGACTCACAAGGACAGTGACTAGAGGTCTTGGGTACAACTCCTCATGCTAGTATAGGACCATGGATACTCAGACTACTGAAGATGACTGTGAGGCCAATCTGGCCCCAGCTGTTGAACTGCCAGCAAGTGAGGTCCCATCTAATTCTTCTGTTGATCCAAATGTGAATTCAGTTGAGGTGTTGGGTGGACATGGTGCCCAAGCTGTGAGGGAAGATCTAGACTTCCTAGAGAACCTGCAACCAGAAGACCAAAACCAAGGTATAGTCAGTGAGGAAGGCAACAGCAACCTTCTTGGGCTCTCCTTCCCCAGAAAGCTCTGGAGAACAAATCATTCAAGCCTATGTGCTGGAATGATGATGGAAACACCGTGATCATCGATGTGGACCTTTTCCAGAGGGAGATTCTTAGCCAGAGAGGGGCAGAGAGGATTTTTGAAACAGACAGCTTGAAGATGTTCATTTGCCAGCTGAATCTCCACAGGTTCAGCAAGATGTACCCAAACAGAAGAACAGGAAAATGATGGTAAAGTAAACAGTATTTCTGTTTCCATCTTTCTTTGTGACAACAAGAAAATCTTCATAGCTCCCTCCACTCCAGATCTGATGAATGGTTTACTAGAAGGGCTTTGTTTCCCAGGATAAGTCTCTTAGCAGGAGATATTTACTGAAATTTGAAAGTATAGGCTTTCATATTAACTAAAGTCCTCTTAGAAAAGCTCTGCAGGAAAGATGACAGACTGAGTGGCCAATTAATGTCATATATATGTATTACCACCTTAACTTATGAACAGGTTTATCTTTAGTGATCTCATAGCATGAGCTGTATGACTCTTGCCAGCAACTTAAACACTCACTTTTTCCATCACAAAACAGGACCATCATGACATGGGGGGTGGGGAGGGCAATCGTGTACTTTTATCCTAGAAATGGTAAGGTATTTCATTTTGTTTCAGATCTAACACCACGCCAAATTTCAGAGAGACAATCCAGGGTTCCTTGAGAATATATGGAGAAAAGGGGACCTCAGAACCCCTTCTCAGCAAGTGACATGTATACCAACTACAAAAAAGGAACCCTGCTTGGCAAGTAACCTGTATACCAACTATACACAGGAGCCTTGCTGGGCACGCGACCTGTGCACCAACTCCAAAGAGAAAGAAGGGGCTACATAATAGACGTTTCACCAAATTGCATCCTAAGAACAAGAGAGAAGACAGAGGACAGTCCCAGAGGGAAGCACCCAACGAAGCCCCAGAGGCACTCACAGAGAGACACCCCTTAATGTACTCTAGTATGAGGTCTATGAGTAGTCCTTGAACAATTGCTGGGAAATCAGCCCCTTCAGGAGCCAAGAGGCCCAATGGGGAAGGGCACCTCTGGGGATGTCATGTTTGTGCCTCCACCTAATGTTGGAAGGCAAGGCACAGGGGAAACACCCAAAAGGTCTCTAGAGAATGCTCCTTATATGTTTGTGTTGCATTTGTACAACACTTCCTTTTCCGTCATGCTGGCCACCATCTTGGCAATGTTCCAAAATAAGTCCCCTGACAATGAGAGAAATGACATGGAGCCAGAGGGCAGATTACAATGTGAGCAGTTTCAGGAAAATTCAGATTCATGAACTTATAGGGCACTGATAAAAAATCAACATTTACTACAATGAACCCATTTTCAGACTGTAAAAGTGGAAAAGAAAACCCCATGGTGGTAAATAAACAGTCTAGATGAGAGTTTCGAGTCTGTGTTCTATGTAACATTCCGTACTATTCTGTTACCATTGGTTTACATTTGCTTTGGTTCCCCTTCCTCTCTATTTATTTGTAGAATGGAGAAAGCAGCAGGAACAAAGTCAGTGGGAATACCTTTTCCCTAGAGATCACTTGTACTTGAGATACTGTCAAGGAGTCCAAGGGAAGGCAAGGCATTCCTGGCCCCCATGCCTCTGATTCCAGTGAATAGCAGCTTACGATGTTGCTCTGGAAGGCAGCAGCCATTCAGAAGTGGACCCTGTTTTACAGATCTGCTCCTGCAGTGAACCATGGTTCCTGATTTAGTTGATGTTAGCCATGTTCCTCAGCGACCACACCAGTCACACCCTGTGCCCCGGGATCAGTGCGGGTGGATGTCCACCTCAACTATATCCCTCCCCCTTTTCATAGGTAAGGCCCAGTACACTGGGGTTTGAATCACGTCACGTACTTCTAGCTCAGGTTGCCCAGTCGCTTGATTTTCCAGTTCCTCAACCTCACCGAAAGCTAAGTTTCCGGCACTGGCAAAGTTTCCCGATGTCAATGAGCCCTGTACACAGAGAGAGAACCACAGATGGTTTTCCCTTCTACAAATCAGGCGGGCATTTGACAATAGTCATTACTGTTACAATGGCTGGAGATCCAGATACACGAAAATGGCATGAAGCTAGCTGAAGTCCTCTCACTAAGTACTGGGTACATGCCAGACTCTGCTCAGGGAATCCAATGCACAGGGAGTCCCAGAGGCTCCACAAATGAACAGGGAGGGTTTCATTCCTCAGTGGTGCCATTACACAAGTGATGGTGGATCCCATGAAGATTTCTAAAGGTGGTGCTGTTAACAGTGTAAAGGGCAGTGGTCCTTCTGGAGGGATATAGGCACAGAGTTCTAACATGTCACCAGGTGAAGGAAGCCAACACAGGATTCATCTATCCAGATGTTGGAGGGCATACTCAGAGTGGAACAGGGGGAATGTGTTCAGCAAGGTGGCAGAGCCTAGAAGCCACTTGCTGTTGAATGTATGACTGCCTTTTATCGGGACTCTGTCGACTGCACGTGCACCCAGACCTTGCTATTTCACCAGCAATGTGCACCCATTCTGCAGCCAATACACGAGAGAAGTCACTACGCGCTCTCAGATCTGAATGAACTGAGCCAGATTGGAGAAAATCACTCCCCTGGGATGTGACCTGTGTCAGACCCCAGCCGGTATTCCGAGTGGCATTGAAAGTCGCCTATTTACATAGCACAGAATAACCTGCCACAAGAGAACAGACCACTATTCCAGGAGCACCTCTCACAGAACTGTCTGCATTGTGAGTAATACATCTTCATTTACCAGCTGTCACTCCTTGGCCACACTTTTCCCCTTCGTGGAGCAAGGCATGAATCTGCACGGGGGTCATCCCCAGCCTTTCCACAAGCAGCTCCCATGAGGAGTTATCTTCTCAGTCCCTGTGAGCAATGTGGCATGGAGTGTCAAGTTTATTCTGGTGGACTGTCAGCGACGTCACCAACATGTCTCGGTCCTGATGTTAGATAAAACCGTGAAGCTGGAGAGAGGAGAGGTTATTAAAAGTCATCGAATTCTGTCCTTGAGGCATGTCACACCCCAGCCTTTCAGACAATGGACTTCAGCTTCCTAGACATATCTAGTGCCTGAAGCCCATGAACTCAGTGGTTTACTAACCTTCAGAGACAAGCTCTGCAGAAACAAGTGGTTTTGCCTTCACCCTGCTCAATCACATCATGCATTGTCCACCCGAGTCATGCCTTGCTCTCACTTCTCAGAGCCAGGACTGGAGGTGTGGCAAGTGATAGAAGGCCTGCCAAAGAGGATTAGGAGTTCTAGAACAGAATTGAATACATTAGCAAGATCTGCCCCAAAACAACAAAAGAATCTAACTAACGTTTTCAGATGTGCAGGAGAAGAACAGGGACTGAAAGACATCATGGGGATTGCATTACAAAATCCAGACCTTGAGAAACTCCAGGAGATCCATCAGATAAAACCTAAAACCTAAATTAGGAGTTCTTTACTTCTGTGACAGAATACGAGCGAATTATCAACTTTTGCTATCTCAGTATTTCACAAGGAAAAAACCTCCAATCAAGTATATTTTTTGATAAATCACCTTTGATTCAGACATAATAAAAACTATTAAAACTATAAAAAAAAAAAAGAAGGCCTGCCAAGCAAGTTCAAAGCCCTGGTTCAAATCTGTATACTGACAAAAGACATTCCACTTCTCAGAGCCAGAGCCAGCTGGCTCTGTCAAGCCAGCCCTTCACCGTGTCATGACTGGTCACTCTCTTGGACTCTAGGACATCCATCCCATCCCTGACTGTTTAGATGTTTCTACTGTCTGCACACTTTTGACCGCACAACAAATGACCCTCCTGTGAGGTCACAACCCCCTCTGGCCTCCCTTTCTCCTCTCTGCAGGTCTGTATAGCAAAGACCAAAGAACAGTCCCTAATTAGTCTCTGCTTTGTCTCTGAATTTCTGCCCCACCACACAATGCCTTGCACTACAGGCCCTACAAACAAAAACTGGCCTTGTCCACTTCTCTGTCTTCATCTCACTTAACAAACACAAGCCCAGGCCTGGCTTGCAGCTCTCCTCTCCTTCTTGGGAGGCTTCCATGGTTTCTCAGTGGCATGCTCTACCTTCCCTTACATAGCACACCTTATCTCACACTAAAATGGCCAGTACATCACAGAACCCCTAGAGATGCTACCCCAAATCTACCTCCCTTCCTACTCTGTAGGTGAGAAGGAAGCTGTGCTCACCACTATACAACCAACGCAGGCCCTACTCTGTAGGTGAGGTAATCACATGTGAATGCCATAGTCCCAGCAGCTCTGTTTCTCCCATCCATGACCTATACCACATGTCACTATCTCTAAAACCTTCCATTGTCTCCATGGCCAGCATCCCATCATCAGTCCACGGCATCTGCTGCTTTCTCAAGTGGAATTCCAGCTGTACCCCTTGCCCCCCAGGCCTCATTGCTGGCCTGCTGCTCTCTAGTTTCCATGTTGCAGTCAGAATGCCCTTGAGACTGGGAGAGCCAGAATACCTCATTCTTCTTCTAAGCCCATGAGAAGATGATTGCAGACATCACAGAATGCTAATAATTATCCAGCAACCACCAGACATTAGGAGAGAGGAACAGGGCAGATTTTTTGTCCCCATCCCCCCACCAAGACATGGACCTTGCCAACACCTTGGTTTCAGCCTTCCAGCCTCCAGAAATGTGGGACAATATATATTCTGTTTTCTATTTAGTTTAAGGAACTATGTTTATTGAAGGCCAGTGAGACAATGTGTTTCTGCTATTTAGGCAACAGGAGCAAGGTGTTCCCTACACATCTCCACAAGACAGATCGATTTTTCCATTGAACAGCACAATTAGCAAACTTTTTCTGTCTGCCCTCTTCATCTACCTCATTTTCCCACTGCTTCTTTGCAGCTCAGTATTGGTTGTCCCTTAATTGACCAACCATTGCTCTACTGATGGATAGTCACAGGCTGTTTCCCATTTCTGCCACTAAAAATTGATATTGCCACTAACACTCTGCCGCTAACATTGTCTGAAGTCATAAAGTTTAAGAGGATGCCCAGGTCAGATGGCATGCCTATCAAAGATGTGGATACACCCCGGCAAATGGCTTCCATAGAACCTCTCCCGAGTACACGCTACAGGCCAACAGTGCATCTCCTCACACACTTCTTGCCTTTGAGTGTCATCATTCTGCTGATGGGTGACAAGGTCTCACCCCACTGGGAGACGTGACCAGAATAAGGTTTGCCTAATTTCTGCCACTAAGCTTCTTACCTAACTCTTTTCTCATCAACACTACGAAATCACAAGGACTAAACGTGACCCACCTGGGTGGAACCCCTAGTGAGAACTGACTTAACTGCAAAGGCAAGAACGGGGCTGTGCCCCTCCTGCCTGGTGCAGACAGTACGTGCCTTGTGGCCTGAGGAGGAAACAGCTGCTTGTCTCTGCTTCTTCAGCTACATACCAGAAAGAGGATATGGAGCAGAGGTCAAGTAAAGACAGCGATACTAATAGCAACAGGAGGGTCTTCTCAGCAAGTACCAAGGACCAAGAAAACCTGGGAGGGCGGGGCGGGACGCGTGGGCAACACACATGTGCACCTCACTTGGGGCATGGCTTCTTCTCGGGGCAGTGGGGAACCTCAGTCCCTGTCTGGGTCAGGGACCAAATGATGCACTACCCAGTTGTCTGCATTCTGAGGCCAAGCATGCACCTTCCATCAGGATAAAAACGGCACATCCCCTCACATGGTCACAGGGCAAATTTTGGAGAGCCTAAAAACATTGCCTTCAATGTAATCCTCCGCAGATCCCATGGAGCTGTGAACCACAGGACTGGGCAACCTACACTCTGGAGTCACAGTGAGTTCCCAGCCCATATGCACGCTGTCTTTCCCCTGTCAGAGAAGAACACCTGTACCCACACTTAGAAGGAGAGGGGGTGAAAGGTTGGCAGAGGCTGGCTGGAGCAGGCCCTGCAGGAGTTCTAAGCCTCATAGTCAGGGAAACCCAGGCTCTCAGGTGCCATCTGCCCCAACAGGTCCGGGTTCCCTTCCATCTCCAGACTTTCTGACTGACAAGCACTCTGGCAGCAATCATGGGACAGGTTAGCACTCGGGAGGGCCTCTGGTGCCAGTCTGAACCGCTCCGATGCCCCAGCAGGGGTTATTATGGATGTGGAGTGGAGGATGCTTGGCTGGGCTCAGGACTGTGACGCTGCTGATGTCACCAAGGAAAACTGCAGGTCTCTGGTGTTCTCAGGCATTGACTCCAGAGCCTTGATGGGGCCAACCGGGTCCCTT